CTCCTAACCACCAATCGCCACCCCCTCCCCCGACCAGACCTCTCACTCGGGCAGGTGTGAGTGCAATGGCTGCTCCTACCACCGAAAACCGGACATTGAATCCTAAGAGGGCAACGAGCAACACGCCATCCTCCAGCAGACCAACCAGAAGACTTGCAGAGGTGTTCGCCTCAGTAGCAGGGCATGCCAGGCGAGTATCGGGATCTTTCTCGGCAGCAAGATCCACGGACTTCGGGTTTGATCGTGTACGGGAAGGCAAAAAGGCGGTCGTAGCTTCCACCGGTCCAGGGGCAAGGAAGCAATACGTGGAGGACATGAAGAAGGAGCTCATGAAAGAGTACAAGGCAGACTTGGAGATTGGACAACATTAAGTACGTCAATAAGAAACAAGCAGCGAGTGAGCTCGCTGAGCTTCGTACCCGTGATGCCTACGGAGAAGCTGAGGATGAAGATGATGAGGACTTGCTCAACTCCACAACGTTCGAGGAGCAAGAGGAGAATCCCTCCTGACGTCTTTTTGGGACACGGGCTGGCTCTGGAACCAAGCCCAGGACACCATGATGAAGCGAAGAAGGTTGGGAAGGAAAGGAGGTGGGCTCCGGAGATTTGAAGTCATTATGCGGTTTTTTGTGCTACTCTTAGTAGTTGTCGGTGCGTTTAGTTGGGGGCACCAGCTTCTTGACAGCTGGATTGATTCGGTTCGGAACGGCCATGACATATGTGCAGGGGACAATCGTTGCGTGTATGTTCTTATCTCCCCCTGGTCAAAAGCTATTTATATCGGTTCCACCACGCGAGGTGTCGACGAGCGTTGGGGAGAGCACGTGCGTCTAGCTACGACTGATACTAAGGGCAGGAATCATAAATTGAAAAGATGGCTCGAACGCAGAGGGTGGGAGACGTATGTAGCTATTCCTATTGTCTACCCCTCTGAGAGTGACTTGCGCACAGTGGAAGTTTCCCTTATCCATAGGTGGTCTCCCTGCCTCAACACAGTCATCGGTAAGAATAAAAGGAGAAAGGCTAGAAGAAGAAAAGGACGTAGAGAACGAAAATCCTACCACTCACGGTCGAATAATATACTAGGCTCCGAGATTCGCAATGATAGGCCTGTTGCGTGGCATGTTTCAGCGGGATCCTCGCACATCAGACCTTACGCTGTTTTTTCGTACTCTTTGCTTGAAATCCTGAGACAATGCTGCAGTCAGAACACCCGGTGCGCCACCATTGTATCGCATGGTGGCAGCTTCTTCGTGGAAGGGTGGGGTAAAATCAGAAAGTTATTTGGTATGAGCATTGTTGAAACTAGGGAATACAAATTTTTATTGAAGGATCTTCGTCCTGATTTGTGCAAAGGCAGGACTTTTGTTTTCTTTCATATCCGTATGTGCAAAAACAAATAGTCAGCTCGAAAACTCGTACTTTTATCTCTGCTGCAGGTACATACCACTCGACCGGCCTTGCACTGTTTTGATGGTCAAGCCCTCATCCGTCTTTTCAATGTTATTGACTGTTTTCCAAACAACCGCACGCAATCTGTTTTGCGTAGCATCGTGGGATCTGTGATTCGCAGGAAAGAAGGTTTCAACTGCACTACTCCGATGGTTGTGAAGCTGCAGTTCAACTCATCTATAGTCAAATTAAGTGTCATTAATATCGCTAAACAAATTATTAGGAGGTCACGTGACCAACAGTATCTCGCAGACTTCGTCATTTCCCGGCTCCGGTTCGTCTGGTCAAGAAATCGAAACATAGGACAGATCATTCATAACCATAGGGCTTCTGCTGTTTACTCGTCCGAATTCTGCTCCTGCTCGGAATCTCCTAGTGATCTAACCCGGAATAGGGAGGGTCATGTTGTCATGCGGGTCTCATCTATTGTTGGTATGCCTGAAATTCAGCGAAATTCCAATAACATTCTCCCTCCCTCTACCTCCTCATCAATAGCATACATCCATAAAGCGCTGAGCCAAGGGCTGAACAGACTGCCTGGTAATGCTGTAGTTGCACACCAGTCCTTGAGATGCTGCCTACGCAGCTCGGAAGGACCACTCGACGATACCGCAGACTGTCTGGATGAGTGGGTGAAAAAGTTCAGCGAATTAGTGGTCGCACCAATTGATCACAATGCTGGAGACTCACTGATATGTTGTATGAGCATCTACCATCAAGCTTTGGGTCAACTGTACTGGAACAACTCTGGATTCCAGATTGTCCCGATGAAAGAGGATGAAGTTTTAAGTATTTGCAGAGTGCAATTCGATAAAATCCAGGGTCACAGAATAGCTCGTTGTAACGCAAAAGGGAAACTAGGATGTTGTTACGGACTGCCTAAGCATAAAGACATCTCCCGATGGCGCCCCATCTCCCCCTCTTTTTCTGAGCCCAGTGTGCGTGCATGCAGACTTGTCGGACGTGCTGTCAACTTCTTGCTATGAAATCTCCCCAGATCTTCCAACTTTAATCTGAGGGCTACCAACTTGCTAAAACCTAGGATTGACTCCTTAAACAAAAAGGCTATACGCAATCTGTCTGGTATACTGACCTCGGCTAGCTACGACATAAAAGAAATGTTTACTAAATTGCCACATTCATCTATTCTAAGAGCACTGGAGTGGATCTGTTACTTCTTTTCTGAGTTGGGAAAAAAAGCAGTTCGGGTGAACAGACAAGGGAAAGGCGTGTCTTTCTGCAGTGGAGCAGGGGAAAAGGGATGGGTAACTATAAAGTTAGATCAAAATTAGATTTTGTTCAGTTTGATCTAAACCATACCTACTTGCCTGTTTCCACTTATGTTATTCGCCAAGTGGTTGGTATCCCAATGGGAAAGTGTTCTAGCCCTGCGCTAGCTTGTCTGCTATGTTCCTTCAATGAGATCAACTTTCTGAGCTCAATCGGCACCGATAGCCGCTTTATTACTGGTATCAAACTAGTAGATGATGTTAGTCTTTTCATCCTATCTGCAAACAACAACCAAGCTGCAAGGAGGAGGGCGGCAGTGATCCTCAAGAAATTCGAATCATCATACGACGACAACCTCAGCTTGGTTCGTACGGACCCCGGGAACGTGACTGGGAATTCCTGGGCTGTTCCATCTGCTGCTCTGCGTCGCCACCTACAGTCCACTGTTCTGCGATCACCAAGAACCAGGAATATATTTGGAGCAGCAAGCCTATCAGAATCCTCTCCACACAGGACTTCAGATCTTACGGACCTGCGAACCTCAAAAAGGGAGTGATAAAAGGGCACTTAAACAGGATTTACACCCACTCCTCAGATCATAGAGGGGTGGGTCTGGCGCTCCTTGCTTTGAGACGAGAGATGCAACTGACGGGCTTCCCAAGACGAATTTTTGACAAAACACTTTCTGAGTTTTCAACGTCTAAAGGTGGATGCTGGGACCTATGGGTTGACATATTCAGAGCAGGACTTGGGAACGAACTACGCCGTGATTCCATGGCAGGTACTAACCGGCTTACAACATACCTTACGGCCGCTTAATCTTATAGGYCTGACTCTTTTCCACCGTACTAGTTATGGGACGGTTTTTTGCACGTCCATTACTATTACCTCTGTCTGCGTCAAGGATAAACCATTTCTCTGATACACCGCCTATTCCCATTTGTTTTCCTCTCCCCCCCCCCCCAGCGTATAATCATGTCCAAGCCTCATCCACCTTCGCTGCCCCGAATCCCTCCACCTACGTAATGACACGTTCTGATCCCGCGATTTCGCTTTCGGATCCTCTCCGCACCAAGCACACTTTTCGAAGGCAGGTATCGCTACAGTCCCAACCCTCTGCTACGACCATCCTCGTGCTATGCCCACGCCGTTTTTCTCCCACCTTGTCTTTTGCCATCGTCTCTCTGAATCCCTTCGTCCATTCTCCCTGACCTACCCCATACTGTTCTCCTCTCTTCCACACGCTTCCCCACCCTTATTCAGCCCGTAATCTTGGACTTCCTCTGCCTTCGTTTCCCCGCCTTTTTGGATCAGCTAACCCCTCGCCTAGAACATTCCCTCCGATCTCCTCATCGATCTTCCAATCTTTCCCATACCTGGCTACCGCATGTCACGATCAGAACTTCGGCGTCTCTAAGCACGTTTTTTGCTTCTCTGGCAGGTTTCGGATGGACTGCAAGCGGCTTACTACTAAGGGTTCCATGAAGCAAGATGACTGTACGACGCACTGGTTCTCGACCAGGTTCATCGATTACGTTGTTATTATTATTTCTTTTGCTATATTTTTTATTGGAACTCCACTACTCAGTCTGGGTAGTATGACTCCTCCCCTACGAGTTTTACCGATAGCCTCTTCCTATTTATCCAATGAGGAACATGCACAATCCCAGGCGTTGTTTCAGTCCCCTGATGATGGCTGACAGCGGAAGCGGCCGAAACGCGGCATCGGGACGTCCGCATGGGAATTGATGTTTCACTGTAATTTTACGAATTCCCATTTTTGCGCCAAGGGACTACTGCGTGTTCTCTCTCCATTTTCTTTCCTTCTCTTTTTCTTTCTTTTTCTTTGTCTTTCTTCTTCTTCCAC